TAGTTCTGATTCACCATATGTTTTAGTTTTAAAGGATATTTTAAACCAAATGCTAACTGATTTGAGAAAGAAAACCTTTGGCTGCTCTACCCACCGCATGTGGCTTCGCTAAGGAGATATCCATAATGAATATCATTGGTGATCATTTGAAACAGCTGTTATATACCATTACTGTGTTTTTATTATTCTGAAGGGTTTGAAGTGACAAACATTTCACGATTTAATATAAAGTAAAAAATTTGTATTTAGCAAAAATAAAGTTAAATATACATCAGGGGAGCAGATTGAAGCGATTTATATGGAAAGAGTCAATGAGGCAAACATACACGGAAAAAATCAAAATCTAAATAAGTAATTTTTTCTTAAAATAAGTGAATTTGTTCTTGAATTGAGAAGGTAAAAGAGACATTTTACCAATAGAAAAGAACAATTTACATTTAAGATAAGAAAACAAAATAGCATTATTGTATTTCAAGTGCATTTTATCTAAATATTTTAAGAGTAAAAACACTCATTCCATTGGCAAATCATCTAATTTACCTACTCAAATCAAACTGAGAAAATTGTACTAATTTCTAGATCGTTATTCTAGTGTTTCCATACCAAATACTGAACAGATGCATCAGTTCTGATCAGCTCAAGTTATTGTGGAACCATATGGAAATGTAGTTAAGATGAGAATTCATTCCAACAACAAATCTTTCTGCAGAAAAAAGCACTTTGCCTTATCCGTGATGTTGGTTTTAATTGTTATATGCATAATATAATCCAATTGTTCCATCTTTATTTCAAAGAAAATTTTGGCGAGGTTCAAAAAATGCTAAATATTTTGTATTTTGTCCCTAATATTTCAGGCAGGGTCAAAGCTACAATGGTGCTGACACCAGAAAACCATTCTATGACATCTTACCTTTACAGACGTACCAAAAGTTTCTTCTTAAATCTAATAGCTTTGAGGCTATAAGTGATTTACTTTTGTGTGTTTTTGTCAGGCAGAAATTTATTTATACCCCCTTAGGGTGTAAGAGGTTAATTTCCAGGTTAAAATGAAGTTATTGCAAGGAAATATATTAATTTATTGTAATGGAATTTTATTTGGGTTAAGATTTATTTGCTTTCAACTTTTTCTTATTCTTTGGAAATCATAACTTTTATTCTATTAATATGAAATCATTTTTTTTTGTCTTTCAGCATCTGTAATATTAAACTATAAGTGCCTTACCAATATCTACATGTCATACTGGAAGTATTGTTGAGAAGGTATATAAATATATGTCTGACAGATAACTTATCTTTTTTAATAAATGTTTAATCAAACCAAATCAATAGGTGGTGGAATAGCCACTTAAGTTGTATCCTAATGGCTACTTTTTACTTTTGATTGAAGAAAAAATATTTAAAAAATACTTCCTAACTTATGTATAAAACCTCTGATTAGGCTACAAAATGTGTATTTTTGCAAATATTAATACATTTTAAAATCTTAATCTTATAACACCTCTGAATTTGAATGCTGAATATACAATAAAAAATTGAAATTGGAGGCTTGATATGACAGTGTACCTGTAAGTGCAGGTGTATTCCCCTGAGTCTGAAGGTTGAGCTGGAAGGAACCACAGCTCTTTACCCTGCTGCTGCACACGGCCATCGCTCTGATACCTCAGTTGATCGCTTCCGTTGTTCCTGCTGATGAGATACTTTTCTAGTGGTGGAGCGATTTTACGGAGTTGAAGACCTCGCATGAATATCGGAAATTGGAGGATTACAGCCTCCCCCTCCACTCTAAAAACCTCCAGTTCTGGGGATGCCTGATAACAGCCATCTGCAGAGGAAAAAACATCCAGAAACTAAGCACTACTAATGACAATATTCATGTTGACTTTTTTTTTTTTTTTTTCAAATCATTTGTTTTTAATAGAAAAAATGGCAATACGGCAAAAAAATAACATTATTTTTCATAATAATGCTGCATGGATGCTTGGTCAAAGCAAATAACCCACCATCTAGTATTAAATCCAGCCAGGATTGGTTCCCATAGCAAAAATAAATCGGGGTACTACTCATAATGCAGTACTGCATGTTTACACTGTCGTTAAGGTAAAGTGAGAATCTTCTGAGAGAAAACACACAAACATGCCTTATAAAATCCTGACGTAATGTGAACAATATAGAAAAAAATATTCACCTTTCATAGGCAGGGGAGGTAGTAGACGAGCTCCATGAACACCTGTGGCACAGACCATGGCAAACATAAATGCCAAGCAGAGCATGGTGGCAGTCTGCAGGGACACAAGGATTTAAGCAATAAGATCCAACGATAAAAGGTGAAACACTCTCGTCTTTGGGTCCAACAGAGCAGGATTGGCTCAAATGCTCTATGTGGGAATTGTCCAGTCAATAGACATAAAGAAAAGCTTAAGCAAAAATAAACATAAGGGTTATGATGCAGAAAACGAAAATCTAAAATCAGAGTGCAAATCCTGGAGCATAGCTTGTTTTATCTCATCAGATCATTTAAAATTTGAACCTACTGGCTTTATTTCATGTCTTTTATTGAGCGTGAACTGTGACATCATAGAAGTCGTCATAAAACTGCTGGCACTCCCACACTTAGTTTTAACCGCAGGGGGTTACCAATACAACCACATGATTAGTCATAATAATGTGTTTAAAGTCACTGTATCAAAGGTCTCCAAAATGAAGAAGCAATGAAAGAACAAAAAGAAATGTTTGAAGAAAAACTATTATTATTCAGTTTTTATTCCCATTTATTTATAAATTGCTGCAGTGCTGGTAAAGATCTAACCTCTGGTTATTGAGATGGTTGCAACTAACTTTTAATGGGAGATATTTTCTTAAATTGTTAATATAAAAGGTTTACTGTTTGACTGTGCTTGACATTAATATTGTTTTTAAGTTGTTTTGTCATCTTTTGAGTGATGAGTGTCTCATTTTTGGTTAGAAATAAACTTGGAAGCTGAAAAAATATATTCTAAATCTACAACTGGCAGGTGTACGAATTATTTTCTGCATAACTGTAGCTAACTGTACTTTAATTTATATAATTCTTCATTAATGCAATTTTAACTACTTTTCTAATTTTCCTATAATTGTTGGAAAAATCAAAGCTGTTTATATAGCCGACTTTTAAAACTTAAAAAGACAATACACATAGTTTGATGATTTCTAAAATTTTAAACACCTTATATCATAAATGTATTTTACTCTTTAAAGAAACATTCATAGTGAATGAATAACAGTAATGGCTGATGCATGTTGATGCTGATGCATTTGCATCATTAAATAAAAATGCAAAACTTATCAAAATGTTTTGTGAGCACTGACAATACCACTGCATCGTGTTGCTTCATGTTAGACCTTTCATTTAGTCGAGCCTTGGGCTATGAGGCAGATTATAATAAGCTCATGCTGAACTGTTTTGCTGACATTAGTTCTTTTAGCTTCTTTAACCCCTTAAGTTCAGAGGGTCTTAGGAGCAAATTCCGCCTGAAATTACACAAGTGAATAAAGCTCAGCTCCCAAACTATGACTTGGAAATATAATTGCTTGTATTAGTAAGACAGAAAGGCATTGAGTCATTTTTTCAGGTGGAACCACTATTGTATACGTCACCATGTTTGATTTATAAGGAGATTAAACATAGAAAGAATGAAAGATATTTAGCCACGCCAATTTGCACATTGAAACCCCATTAGTAACTCTGGATGACATCACAAACTTTGTAGATCCACATATTGACTATAATTCAAGCAAATTTAGACTGGATAAATTGAAGCATGTTTGTTCCACAAAGGTTTTAGTAGGCAGTGTGCTAGGCGGCAATGTAATTTTCCATTCATAAAAGGGAATCTGACTAGACAAATATGCTGATTTTCATTATTGGAGATCTTCTGCCTAAGACAGAGGTCTTCAAAAGGGGGTCCGTGACCCCCTAGGGGGGCCGCGGAGGTACTGCATGGGGGTCGCGAAACTTTTGGTTGATTCATTTTTTTTTTTTTTTTATATTCCCTCCTGAATAGAAATGTCTTTAAATCCACATTAACATGAATTCAACACACTGTAGTAAACACATAAATGGAGGCAGAAGATGTCTTTCCGTCATCAATGCTCACATTCAGCGACACACAGGAGCTCTTTCAAGCTGGACACCGTTTCATTCACAACACCTGTCCCATCAACCAGGAATCAGATTCAGAAATACTTTAATAATCGCAGGGAGAAATTACTTTCCTTACATTACTCCATCTGTAATAGAGTGACTATAGGACCAGTTTGATATAACATTATTTCATACAATATATATAATTAGGGGGTCCCCGCTCCATCTTTTCATCAGTTTGGGGGTCCTTGGCCTGGAAAACGTTGAAGACCCCTGGCCTAAGACAAAGCCTTTGCTCCTAAGATTTAGCCCTTGTTTCATTGAAATTTACCATTGAACACACAATGTTATCACCAAACCCAATAGAAACTAAAAATAACAGAGAAAGCTTATGTAACGGATGCTGGCTACATCACCTGAAATAGTTACCCAATTACATCCAACCCCTCCTTGGAAAGGTCTGAGCCTCTAGTTTCCAATGATGCCAACCATCAGGGGGTGTGGCTAAAAATAAATACCTGCTGTTGCATTACTCCTGCAGAGTCACACATTTCAGGTGGAATTTTAAATCTCATTTTGTTTACACAGCTATAAAACAAAAATCATTTTGAAACATGTTTTAGAAACTTTAAAGCCCTATTTTGAAGGGCATGTAGATGAAACACCATATTACTGAGTTTTGGCCATTTCTATAAATAGATAAATGTGAGCATGTGTCAGATGTGCTGGGCTTAAGGGGTTAATGAAAGGAAACAGGGATGAGGTGGAGAGTTGTTACTCTAAATGCATACAAATCTTACATAACAAAGAGTATACCGTACTTAAATAGGAAACATCTGTTGTTAACAGAAAAGAACATTTGTGGCACATATATATTTTTTGTTTCACAGATTTGTTAAGGAAGCTTCCAAAGGAAATGAGTGCAGTTAGTTAAAAAACTGGAGAATCCCAAAGATCTGGGCTTTTGGATTTCAGAGTGCTAATGTGTTGAATCAATCTGTAAAAGCCTCAGCGCTGATTCTACGGAATAACCTTGACTTGTTAAAGTGTTAAAAACTATTCTCATGTATTTTCTTTATTGTTTTAATGTTGATCTGATGCAGGAATTAAAGTCAAAGTCAATTAATGGTGTTAAAAAAATAACACAACCAGATTTAGCTTTGAAAATGTGTTTTTTTAAGTGAATACTTATAGTCTTCCAAATTTATCTTACCATAAAATATTAAGGTTGAACTGCAGAAAAACTGTATCTGCGGGAACCAGAAAATATGAAAAAGGGACATAGTACCAATGCATGGGAAGACAGTGTACTACTAATGGAATTTGTGTAAGAATTAACGTTGCTTTTTACAGTGGTGAAATTTTGGAATGAAGAGATTTCAAGACCTGAAGGAAAAATATGACTTTTCAATCTGGACATCTTTGATTTAGCGAACGTTATAATGAAAAATCATCTGTGATTAGGGATAGAATCTAATGCTGTCCTGGAAATGTTATTTGTTGCTTGCAGTCAGAATACATGAAAAAAAAAAAAAAAAATCAATGTTTTTTGTTAAAGTTCTGTCAGAAATTTGGAAATAAAAAAAATATGTTAAGATACTCCTTTTGCCATGATGTAAATATTGATATCTATACAAAAGAGAGAAAACAAGTTTGGGCTTTAGTCAAAAAAAGGGAAAAGGTTTGAAGCCAAACCACAATTTTATTATAAAATGGACGACTATCTGAAACTTAAAACTGACTTTCAGGAAGCGACGTTTAAGAAAAGAAAAAGAGACAGATTTCCTCGAAAGAATTACACACTTTTCACGAGAACCTACTGATTTTCCCGTCTGCTTCCCTGCATGTGATTACATTTGATGGCGATCATCACTTTCTCACATGAAACCATGACAATGGCAAAAGTGATGCACTCTTTCCTCAATAAAAGCCTTGCTACATGTCATCAGAGGGGAGTCCATTCAGAAAATACTGCAGCAGCGTCATCACTGGAGTTGACCCATTCACAAAGTTGTAGGAGTGCCAATGTTGTAATTTAATGAACACATGACTCACAGGGGTTTGTGACATTTTTCCTTCATAAAATGGAAACTTTGCTGACTGCTGGGATTAGTCTGATGTTATTTTTATCTCATCTTAGATATAGGATTATACAAATTATATCATAATTACAAATAAGAGGCAAATAATTCTTATTTTGTTGGCTTACTAAAATGCATTAATACTTTTTTTTCTTCAATTTATTTCTATTTAAAAATTATATCATTTTTTAGCATCCTCATAAAGATCAAACCAAATACATGAATGTTGATACCTTGAACTATACAAGAGCTATATTATATTATTAGAGTTATTATTAGAGTTAATGTTAATTAGAGTTAAAGTTTAAATAAGTTATTTTGATTCTAAAGATATATTGTGTCATTTCTTTAATACACAAATATATATACACACATATGTATACATATATGTATATGTAAATGTAAACATATATATGTAAATGTGTACATATAAGTATGCGTACATATATATGTGTATATATCCATATACACAAATATATATATATATATATATATATATATATACATAT